AGACTGATGTAGTCAACTTTGAAGTCGATACTCTGAGGCTTTTGCTGCAGAGGCACGGTGCGGAATGTGAGAGGGAAATGTTTCAGAGCGTTCTGGACAAAACTCCCAGTGAGTGAACAAGGGACGACTTTCTCTACAGCTTTAAATACTGTCTGTTTGATCATTTCTGTTGCAATGTACTTACACAATTCATCACGTTTTAGAAAATATCAGATTTTAATGTGAGAAACATAAAGTCGGATATTATATCAGTGGAATAAACACATGACTTTCTTATTATTGACAGAAGAACCATCTCCTAAATCTGCATGACCTTTTTGACTACTTTAGGTGCTTTGAATCACACCACCTCGTGGCTCAAGTCCGCCCTGGAGGAGCTGACGAACATCCCAGAAGAACAGACTCACAGTCAGGGGAAGGGCCAGCTGGTGCCCGGGCCCTTCCTGGTCCTCAACACCGCATTCCTCCGCATCCTCACATGGGAGAACGATAAGAGCCCGCTGCCTGAGGTGAGAGTGATCTGAAGTTGTTTATGTATCTGAGAAAGAAAGAGTGTTTGTGTTTTGAAGATACAATACAATTTCTGTTTTGTGGGTTGTTGCATGTTGTGAGTAGTTTTTGTCTTAATATAAACATGCTTATAACCAGAATCAGAATTCCTTTGTTAGTCCTGCAGTGTGGAAATGTACAGTGTTACAGCAAAAGTGGCATAGCAGGTCAAAGAGGCATGCAATAATAAAGACTGAGCTCACTTATAAATATAGGTAGAAAAACACACATTTGTAGTAAAATACAAATTAGTACACATCCATGGCTACAAATGAGTAGCAGCAATTTAAAAACACGAAGTTACATAAGTATCATATTGTGTTGAGACATTTGAGAATGTGATTGTATTGCACAATCAGTGGCGTTTTTATATGTACAAAAGTGGTGGGGCACGAACAACTTAGATGTTTATATATAAGCTTCTGGTGCTTTTTTTAAACACGTAAACAAATAGCTGTAGGCTATCCATGGTTCCGAGAGAGAGAGAGAGAGAGAGGGGGGGGGGGGGGGGGGGGGGGGGAAGGAGTGTCAAATGACATACTGTCGGAAGCCTTGAATAAAGAGCACGGAGCAACACTGTGAGCGCATACATTTACGTACACAGCGTGGGGGTGTCATATTGTAATGCACCTTAATACATGCAGTAAAGGGCACCATCACAAAGCAATACTTGACAATAACAACACCCGTCATGCTTCAGCATTAAAACACCATAGACTGTACATATAAGGAAAACACAGACACTCATCACCGAGGTCACAATATCAATCGATCCAGCAGAGCAATAGCCTATAGGCAAAACACAGAAAATCAACAAAAGACATGACATACAATGAACTTACCAAAGCTGCAGTAGATGGTCAACTTCATTCATTTTCTTTCCGTTTCACTGATTTTAATCGCTATAAGCTGCTCTCTCTCGTCTCCTCTTCACAACTACACTTTTCGCGGCACACGTACTTACAGCCAATCAGCTCTGAATTATGAGATGACGTTTTGGTGGGGTTGCCAGCACTTTGCCCCACTGTTGATTATTTTTTTGCAGCACACATTGAATAGGAAAATTCTCTGAGCATGCGCAGTGTAGCACCCATTCATTTTGACAGCAGAGAGAGGGGCTTGATCGGGGCTTGCCCCACATCGCTCAACACGGCTCAATAGGCACACTGTAGACACTAATTAGAAGAACGCAGACTAAAACAGCAATGTACAGACGAATCAGATGACTAAACATGATCTTAAAATATATTTTTTGATATATATATTTGGAATTATTATTTGAATTACTTTCTGCTGACACTAGGTGGGGCTGTGCCTGCCCCTAATGACGAGTCGCCACTGTGCACAATTCAGGTTTATTGCACAAGATTGCAACAGTCCGTAATGTGTTATTATAATCTGCTTAAAACACTGTATGATTGTACATGGAAAAAACTTATTCATAAGGCTTTTTTAGAACAACTATGATTCCCCCTGATTCCTGTCTTTATGCTTAGCTAAGTTTTTCTTCTCATCTAATCTCAGCAAGTTAACAAATAAGTGTATTTAAAAAAAAAAAGTCAAACTAATTTGAATTTGAATTGTTTTCCTTTCTAGACCTTGATGACTGACGAGACACGTTTGCAAAAGATCCAGCAGCAGCTGCAGCAGATTCAGGCGGTGAACGAGGTGCTGCTCATCATCTTCAGCACCGTCGGGGGGCCAATCCAGGGTCTGCCCCTCCTGTCCGACCGCCTGAAGAGGATGACCAGTGTGCTGCTGGACGGGATGCACAGCCCGTCAGTTGTCTTTTTTGTATAACCATGATCTAAGTTTATTTTACATGAAAAAAGAGCTCTAACCAGAACCTTCCTCATATTCTCTGCAGGGACTTTAACCAGGAGGAGGCACTAGAGGGCGTCAGTGCTCAGATCTGCAGCGAGCTCAACAAGTCTTTGACCGAGAGGAGCTACCCCCCCCTGCCCCCCGCACTGCAGGTCACCCTGACAGGCCAGATTCTCAGCATCACTCAGAAGGACAACCCCATCCGCACTCTCGTTGGTAAGAGAGGATGCCGAGTGATCCAAATTAAAGAGGATTATGCATCAATTAATAAAAAATTAATAGTATATTTATTTTTATGTCATGCAACAGACAGTTTGATACATACTTTTTTATACTCATTAAAACTCACCATTCCTGCCTCGGCCCGCGGCAGATAATTGGATGGCCTACCTGCCTGTCAGCCTTCCATCTCGTGCACAAACTTATCTCGTGCCCTCATTGGTCATGTGCGTGTTTGTGTGTGTTGGAGGAGGGGCTCTGTAAGGAAGTCTGAAGGAAGGGGCAGATTTTTTTCGGTTGTTTACTTTCAAATTCTAGCGCACTCGAGCTGGTTTCTCCATTCTTACCTACCCTACCTTTAACACATTAAGAATTAAACATGCATGCCGTCTGGCAGGCGGTACCACAGCATCAGGAAAAAAAAACACCAGACTCAGGATCAGTTTCATCCCACAGGCAATACGACTATTAAACACCTGAGTTTGCACTGTTTTTATTTCTATTGTTTTTTATCTAAAAAATGTTATGTCTTGTAATTGCCCTGTTGAGGAACCTGCGATCTAAGTTCATACATTACATAACTACACCGTAGTTGTGTATATGTTACGACAATAAACCTTTGAATCTTGAATGCATCCTCAAGAAGATATTTTTTATTAGCTTTCCCAAACATGGATTTCTTCTTGGCATTTCCTAACTGCTTGTTCTCTTTGTTTCCGTGCAGAAGACCGTGTGCAGCAGTACTTCATGGCACTCATCTGTGATCCTAAACCTCAGAGCAAACTTGAACAAGTACCAGTTGGCTTGACTGCTATCAAGCCTGAACTAGCATTGTTGGGAGCAAGGTTCATCTCTCTGGTTAACTACAATAAAACAGTTTATGGACCGACCTATGGGGGTATCTTACGGAAGCTGATTTTCAGCAGCAGCCCGCCACCAGCAAACCCTCCTCAGGACACTGCCCAGGACTCAGTCACCTCCAAATAAATCCTAACTTTTAATTATGCTGTCTTAGTAGTGTTTCTTCTGTTTGTGCTCGAGAGCGAAAAAACTGTCCAGGATTTTGCAAAAAAAAGAGTCTGCATGAGTATCTTTGTGTTTGACTTATATATTTTAGTTTTGACTTGAGTTAATTGGTTAATAATTTCTCATACGTTTTATTTACTACTTTTACTCATGTGCCAGTGAAATACTTGTTATATGTTTTTAGTTGCTATGTTTGTTACATATTGAGGTACTGTAGTTGTTACAGTATTGCTGTGTTGGCTGTTAGAACCCGTGGGGACAGGAGAGATGCTAAAGCAGATGTGTACTTTTATAAAGATTTAACGTGAATATATCGGAAATTGTTTTCTTTTTTTCTGCCCCCAATTAATATAATAAATGTTTATATAAAAAGAAAACATTTGACCAGTTCTTCATTTATTTGAGGAAAATATGTGTAGAAGGGTATCACACAATATATAAAAAAAATACAGCTATATGGTTCCATGTTATCTTGAAAGTCGTACATTGTATTATTGCATGATATTTAATCTCGTAAAAACATTGACCTTGTGTGATTGTGTTTTAGCTTTAATGCTGTTAAATTATTACATAGATTCATACATTAAAATTTACAAAAAAAGTTACATTCAACCATAATACATAATATTAATGATGTTACATCGGATAATGAATACAAATTAGATTTTTATCATAACAATTGCTGACTAGACTGTTGAGGTAAGATGGGAAGTTATGATCAACAGACATGTTAGATTTACAACGTTTTAATACAATTTAGACCAAATTCATTTCAAGTAGCTGCTAATTTTGGTTAACATATTTAACTACAGTGGTGGAATTTTGCTCCACAGATCTTTTATAATAAATGTGTAGAGCTTTGCAGGTCTGAAAACAAGCCTATTTATTTTAAGCATTATACAGTAAATCTTTCAGGTAGCTATAATTGCATTATCAGTTCATCCCTGTTCTGTGGAATAAACAACATGCTCTCATCTCCTGCTATCACTAGGCAGCAATGCTAGCTTTAAATGCCGTTCAAACATCTTGCAATTCAGGGGGTTGTAAATTAAATTAACACTTTTTGGATTACCAAGCGTTGTAAAATGAACATGGCGAACAACATTTAGACTGTTTCACAATTTCAGAAAAAAGGTTCTGTAAACAACAGATGGTTAAATGTATAGATACAATGAATGGCTAAAGTATCGCGGAGAATACCGGAGACAACACATAAACGAAAGGAAACCATTATTTCCGAGCAGAGTAGTGGTCCTTCAAGGCAGCATCAGTTTGCCCAGTTACAGTTTAGTGAAATGCATGACCTCATCAGTCACATGGCATAATGTCGCCATTCTATTGGCTGCTTCACACGGGGGTAGTTGTTTTTGTTGTGAATCAGGAAGCTGTCTTATTTCCTAACAGGGCGTGTAGTAAAACGTTAACAAGAGGAATTAATAGCACTTTAACTCACTGGATTTTTCAAAACGTGACGTACACCATATACAGTTCAACACAGACCCTCATTGGAAAGAAAATAAGATATTCGTAAGTATTGTAGTTACTTTCTTTGTTTCATTTTCCAGCAGCAGGGAATAAACTTGTCTAGGCAAGTACTGAAATGAACCTTGTGTGTCAGAGAAACGCAGGTCAGAGATAAGGAGAAGGGTTGTGATAATATAGGTAGTTAGAGCCATGACTTGCAGTTTCGACAGTATATTCCCTTTCGCATTTAGTGACAGACACTGAAGAGCTGTGTAAAAGTGGCTGGGCTCTCTCACTTTGTTGTTGTGGAGGAGACACTATTAACCTGGTAGGTGTGCTATTTGAACGTTGAATGTATTACTTTAGAATGAAATAAACTAAACGCTCTGAAATGCAGAGGTCGGAGAAGTACTCAGATATTGTACTTCTAAAAGTAGAACAAGTATTGGCATCAAAATATACTGTGCCATGAGGAAAAGTACTAATTGCATATTGGCCCATTTAAGAATATATGTTTTGATTATGATTATTGATGCATGAATGTGTCAATCAGAGCTTGTATAGTCACTTCTTCCGGTTCCTCTTTTTGTATTTGTATATTCATAGAAGTAAAACTTTATAAATCCAGTTGTCCGTATACTTCTGTGTATTTTTGGGTCCGTCATATAGGTCTGCAATTAACATTTGGTTTCATTTTCAATTAGTTTCAGTCTAGTATTGCTGTAATATATATATTTTTTAAAAGAAAATCTACTTTCAGTTTAAAAAAATAGATGACTCATATCAAAACTCTTTCAGATTAGTTGTCTGTCACTCAAGCAATGATATTCCAAGGTTTAGAGTGTAAGAACCTGTCTCAAAAAAGGCTAAGATATGTTTGCTGTTCAAACCATCATGAGTGGAACTTATTACTGTTCTTGTAGCTGAATGGGAGAAAGTCCCTGCTGCACTAAATCTTGGGAAAAGGTTGTAGAATGGATTTGGAATACGAATTAAAAACATATGGCTTTAATGTTAAGTATCCACATACTTTTGACTGTATATTTTTCCCTTTCAAATGCATTTTCAGTGACACAGGGTCCTGCATGGTTGCCGTGTTGTGCCGAGATGGCTCTGGAGGAAGGGGCTCGGAGCTCTCTGCTGCGCTTCCGCCACAAACTGGAGCAGGACATCAAGCCCTCCTACCTGATGGATCACCTGATCAGTGACGGCGTGCTCACTGTGGACGAGGAGGAGAGGATCAAGACCCAGGTAAGCCTCTGCTCAAGGTGGGGAGGGGCAGGAGTCATTATTTATCAGTTGTGTTGCTGATTCTTTTAACTCGCCACCAAATTATAGCAGGAAACAACTTTTGTTTCAGATTTGTCCCTGCTTTCCTCCACTAAGACATTGTCATTGTTTATGTAGTGAATCACTCTCCTAATGATTTACTCTGGTTTAATGTTTTCTGAATTTATCTCCCGTTTTATGTCCAGAAATTCAAGATGTTGTTGACAAAAATCTCTTCACCTTTCTTCTCTCTTGCTGTGGTTGTGACAGTCTTGTCTTTTTGATATAGCTCTGATCTTTTCCTGTCGTAGTCCTGAATGAAACTGCATGTATTTATTGTCTATGTCTAATGTATCACTGGCGTATATGACTTTTGGACTATAAGGGAATTTCATGCTTTTATGGTATTACAGAATCGAATCAGAAAACCTTTATTTGTCACGCAACGGGGACATTTCCGGTATTACAACAGCAAGAGTATAGTGCAGATTAATTAGAAAGAGTAGGCTTAAAAAAGTAGCCACATGTTATTAATAATAAAAACAAAATAAGTAAAAAAACAAACAAGTAACAGATACGTTTACCATGGTGAAAAAAACTAAGAAGCAGTTAATAAAAATAAAAAACATATACAAAATATAGAGTAGCTGGTACTGTTTACAGATTGAAATATAAATTGAAAGAAAAATAAAGCCTCAATTTCAGGAGGGTATATATATCGTGTTATGTTTACAGGCAGTGTTATTGCACATCAGGGGTATTCCAGTTTACACAGTGAGTTTTAGATATTGACATTTACATATGGCTTTAACATGTTCAGTGTCATCTTTCAAATCATGGATGTTTTTACCAGCTCATATGAGAATCTTCAAAATAGCAGCATGTAAAAAGCACATTTTAAAGTTTACATCTCATCTCTGTTATCTCTCTGTCTCTCTCCAGCCCACCAGGAAGGATCAGGCCGCAGCGCTGCTGGAGCTGCTGCTGAGGAAGGACAACCGAGCCTACATCTCCTTCTACAACGCCCTGATCACTGAGGCATACGAGGACCTGGCCAATCTGCTTCATGGGGATTTACCCCAAATATCACTTAGTGCACTTAAAGGCTCCTCTGATGGCTTCACCCCTACTGGTGAGAAAGGGAAGCGGTGTGCAGTGACTATTGGTTGTACTGTAGGTGCTATTTTGATTGAGCATGTTGCACTACTACAGTAGCTCAATACATCATGAGATAGAAAGTATAGTGATTGACAGCCTCACATCTTGTCGGTTAATCCCTCCCCTGTTTGTCTATCAGTCCAGGCCGTGCTGAGTCAAGGCGGTGTACCACAGAGGCCCGTGGTGTTTGTCAGCAGACTGGAGCTTGTGAACCGGGTCAGGGAGAAACTCTTCCTGGTGGAGAAGGCTCCCGGCTGGGTCACCGTGTTCGGCATGGCCGGCTCGGGAAAATCCGTCCTGGCTGCTGAGGCTGTCCGGCACCTAGGAATCATCGAAGGTGAATACTTTTTCACTGGCTTACACAAACTGTCGCAACAAAACCTCCAATAAATGATGTAGCTTAAGAGGCTAACCTTGGCTCATCATTGTGACTCTTTCAATAAGCAGTCCGTGCTATAGCAATAACCAAAGTAGAACCATTCAGTCAGCAAAATGTATCCGAACCAAATCAGCCTCTTTCTGTTTCCACACACCCCAACAGGTGGACTAAACACCTTAATCCACACCCAGGGGACAATTGACGGAAGTGACATTTAGTGGTGTAAACAAATTATTAAACAAAAAATCAACAATGACCAAATGCTCCATAGTTTCTCTTTGGATAACTGGACACACTCTACATTTTACATTTATTTTATATTTAATATTCCATTCCCTACACTCTTAATGTAAATAATATCCTGCTTTATATTGTGTCTAAAGCCCTTCAATAGTGTTTTATTGTCAGAGTTTATAGATTTGTTATCTTCACGGCCTGCTGTATATTTTCTACTTTTTAATGCTGCTTTAATTCCATTCTAGTATTGTTTATTTCTACTCTTTATTTTCTACTTATGTGCAATGCATTGTTTTGTTTTGTTGTCTTTAATGCTGCTGCAACGCAAACATCTCCCAAATTGGGATCAATAAAGCACTTCTTATCCTTATCTTATCTTATAACCGTTTTGGCTCCTACACCAACGTTTGGCAAACCTTGTTTTAACAACTACGGAAAAATAAGCATTCATAATTGTAGAAATCCGTGACATATGTTCCCTCTCAATAATGGTACAGTCTCAAACATATTTTCCGGATTGTCAGTCCTCGGGAGCTTCCACCTCTTGCCTCTCTGAGATGTTCCCTTTCTCCCCTCTCCTCTTCCTCCATCTGCAGAGTGCTTTCCGGGAGGGGTCCACTGGCTGTCCATCGGCCAGCTGGACAAACCCGACCTGCTGGCCAAGATCCAGTCGTTGTGTTTCCGTCTGGAGCAGAACATGGACTCGCAGTCCCTCCAGAGAACCCCCAACTCTCTGGATGAGGCCAAAGAGCGCCTGCGCTTCCTCATGCTGCGCAGATATCCAAGGTTTTTAGATCAATATTTACATTTGACAGCAAGGCAAGGCAAAAGGAGTAATATCAGAATCAGAATACCTTTATTCAGGGGAAATGTACATTGTTACGGCAAAAATAAAGAGCCAAAAAATAGCCTAATATTAATTAAGAAGCATGCACAAGATATTAAAGATCAAAATTGAAATGACAATTTACAAAACACACATCCAGTACCAGTAACAGTATTTAAAAAAACAAGGTTAGCATGTATAAAATAGTGTGATAGCAGCCAGGTGATAGTATATATTGAACCGTTATTTACAGATTTATTACAGAAGTTGAATTGTCTAACTAATATGTAGAACATTAAACGGCAACAACAAATTGATACCACCCCATTATTTGATGAAGACAAGTAACCCCATGTTCTACATTTATTTCAACATTCAAAGCTTCAATTAAAGTTTTTCAAATCAAACTTCTTATTGTTGCCCCACCAAAAGATTGCCTTACATTTTCAATGAATAAAGTTATCGGATTAAATAATTTTAGCTTTTTTTCTTATCCAATCAGCTGTCTTTACTCTAAAATGTTCTGGTTTTCTTGTCTCTCATCGCCTGTCTATTTCTGATTGGTCTTCAGATCCCTGCTCATTCTAGATGACGTCTGGGACACTACAGTGCTGAAGGCCTTTGATATCCACAGTCGGGTTCTTCTGACCACCAGAAACAGAGCCCTTGCTGACTCTGTTAGTGGTACGTGTCCTCTTTTTGGCTTTACACATGCACACTTCAATGATTTAAACCTCCTGTTATTCATTTTAATTTACAATGGCAAAGACTTCTGTGCCTACAAAATGTATGTGCTGTGCTTTTATTTTGTAGGAGCCAAGTACCTGGTGGAAGTGGAGAGCGGTCTGGATGAAAACAAGGGAATGGAGATCCTCGCTCTGTACACTAAAACTGAAGTCTGTGCGCTTCCTGAGGACGCGCGCAGCATTGTCAGAGAATGCAAAGGTCTGTAAACCTAAACATCATAAACATAAACATTGCTTCCTTTGTTTCCATCAGGTTCAAGGTTCAAGGCTTTTATTGGTCATACGAACATAGTGTAGTTATGACGATGAAAATCTTAGGTCACAGGCTCCTCCAACAGTGCAACACAATAAAACAGAAAAACAGAAAAAAATTGTGCAAGTAAATACAAAAAGAAAAATAGTAAAAAAAAGTGGAATAGTGCAATAAGAGTCTATATACAAGTTATTGGAATATGATATATTAGATAAATAATTTCTAAGTAGCAGCCAGATTAATGTTATGGATGTTGTTTCAAAGTTCAGGTGTTTAACAGTCTTATTGCCTGTGGGATGAAACTGTCCCTGAGTCTGGTGGTTAGTCCGGATGCTGCGGTACCGCCTGCCAGATGGCAGCAGACAGAACAGTTTGTGGCTGGGGTGATGGGGGTCTTTTATAATCCTGAGGGATTTCTTCCTGAGCCGCTGGGAGTAAAGGTCCTCCATGGATGGCAGCTCCGTCCTGGTGATGTTCTGTGCAGTTTTCACCACCCTCTGTAAAGCCTTACGGTTGAGGGCGGTGCAGCTGCCGTACCAGGCCGTGATGCAGCCAGTCAGGATACTCTCTATGGTGCACCTGTAGAAGTTGTAGAGTATCCTGGAGCCCCGAGACGCCCTAAACCAGGGGTGTAAAACTCAAGGCCCGGGGGCCAAATCCGGCCCGCGACTTCATTTGATGTGGCCCACAAGAGCTCTGAAAGAATATAATACGTTTATTATACGGTTACATGCTGCTTTACAGAAGCACGTTGCCCATAAACTATATTTCCCACAATACATCTCACTTTGTGACATGCGCACTGAAGAGACGTGCAATTATTTGCCCTAGACTTCTGCTTTCAAACGTAGTTAATTCTGAAGTTATTACCCAATCTGATAATAATCCAATGCACAGGCAAAAATGTAATATAATACATTATATTATATATTTATACATGTATATTTATATAGTCTTAAAGTTACAACCGGCCCTTTGAGTGCAACAATAATGCTGATGAGGCCTGCGATGAAATTGAGTTTGACCCCCCTACCCTAAACAGACAGTTCTATCTTTTGTTTATTTGTTTTTAAGTTGTGATTGCTTTTTTGCCTACCGTTGATGTGTTGATGTTGTAAGACTCGCGTTTAATCAAAATAACATTTTGAACAAAGAAAATAGACCTTTACAATAGTCAAACAAATCAAAACAGAAAAGGCAAAACTCAAATAAAGTAATAAACAACCAAGATCGTCTTTCTATCTTTGTGTTTCAACGGCGTCTTTTGCACAGGATGTGGGGAAATGTAGTCTTTTATAGTCTCGACTACAGAGGTCTCGATTAGGTGACAATATTTGGCCTCTTTTACAATAACAATAGACTGTCTCTATGTAATCCATAATTGTTTTACATATGCAATTGCATATAGAGAGATCTAACATATTTGAATTAATCTCAAAGGACTACAAAAGACTTGTATTCTGTATTTATTCAAATTGGCGATTTCAGTTCCTCTTTCACATCATCAGAATATATAGGTGTGTTTCCTCTTGTAGGTTCCCCCTTGGTGGTCTCCCTGATCGGGGCTCTTCTCAAAGAGAAACCCAACCGCTGGCATTACTACCTCCGCCAGTTGCAGCAGAAGCAGTTCAAGCGCATCAAGAAGTCCTCATCTTACGACTACGACGCCCTCGACCAAGCCATGTCTGCCAGCATCGAGGTCCTGCCTGACGAGCACCGGGAGTTCTACAAGGACCTCACGGTGCTGGAGAACGACATCAAGGTCCCTGCAAAGGTTTGGCTGCTGTCACATTACCCTCTTCATTTTGTTCATTTACAAAACAGATTATTTCAAACAACCTTTCTGTTTGCGTAATGGCAAATCTGGCTTACATTATTCGAAGATGTACATGAAACATTGACAGATCCATTACTTAAGTAAAAGTACAAATACTATGGTTTAAAAAAAAGTAAATGTCCGGATTTAAAAATGTTACTTAAATAAAAACACAATAAATAATAAGCAATAAAATATACTTAAAGGTAGGGTAGGTAAGAATGTAGAAACCAGCTCGAGTGCGCTAGAATTTGAAAGTACACAACCGGAAAAAATCTGCCTCTTCCTTCAGACTTCCTCACAGAGCCCCTCCTCCAACACACACGAACGCGCACATGACCAATGAGGGCACGAGATAAGTTTGTGCACAGATGGAAGGCTGACAGGCAGGTAGGCCATCCAGTTATTTTAGGGCCGGCTAAAATGATTGGTCGTGCTTTTTACAGCGCCACGGCTTCCACAGATGAAATATTGTTATGTATTTATTGTCAAAGCATTTAATATATTCATTGCTATCGGGATGTTAAGAGCATTCCATGGAATATAACAAAAAGTCTCTGAAGTGAATTACCTACTCCACCTTTAATGTACAAAAGTAAAAGTACTCATTCTGGACAATGACCTGTATCAGAATAATATAAAGTACAGAAGAATGATCAGCTGAATGTACTTCAAGTACTCGTTAAGCAGGATGGATCTTTTCACACTATTATATTATTATGTTTTTTTTAAATCCCGTTTTTATACATCAGTGTTTCCCCTAGGATGGAGTCATAGCAGCGGTGCTAAGGCACGTGGGCCCAGCATAATGTGAGCGCGGAGCGCGTGGAATCTTTTAGTGTGTGCACGTGCGAAGTGCACCCCGCCAATTTGTTTCTATGTGTCTGCCAGCACAAGAAAGGCTCTTGAGGCCTAGTACCAGGGCCGGTCCGGTTCTAGCCAATTTGCTGCCCTAGGCGAGATTTTATATATAAAGAATAAATTAAAAATCTCTACAAAAGACAAATACACTACAAAAGCAGAAACTTATTGACATAGGTAATATACGTCAAAATGGCTTCAAATGTATTCAGTATTGTATGAACATGTTTGAATTGGGGGGTGGACGTCACATCCTGTAGGAGGGTCCGGGGGTATGCCCCCCCGGGAAGATTATTTTGAACATTTTAAAGTAAAATGCTTCAATCTGGTGCACTTTGAGCACACAATTACTAGAGACCTGATCTAGAGGGTACAACTCTAAAACACCCATATGAAAAAGATCGGTTTACTTTATTTTAATAATCAAATTAAATTAATTATGAATGTTGTTATCAAGGCCGAAAATTAGGATGAGCGCCAACGGTCAAAAATGTTTTTTCCCCTCCCAGAGCTACCAGCGCAGCGCCCCCCAGATCTGGCGCCCAAGGCGACCGCTTATGTCGCCTATGAATCGGCCCTGCCAGTACATACAGTGGCAATGTCTCAAGATTTAGCAAAAATACACCTTTATTGAACATACAGTAACACAAATACTACTGCGCCGCCGCTATTTGTATATAGGGGAAACACTGTACATGCAAGATAATTTTAGTATTGTAGTTTGTCAATGTGGACCCAATTTAAATACTTGACATATTGTGTAGTACTACACTACTGCATTATTCCATATGAGCATAAGTAACTGTGAGTGTTAAAACAAATGTAGTGGAGTTCAAAGTACAATATTGGCCTCTGAAATGTAGCAGAGAAGAAGTATAAAGTAGCATTCAATGGAAATACTCAAGTAAAGGACAAATACGTCAAAAAATAACTTGAGTAAATGTACTTAGTTACTTAGTTATTCCTTCTCCCAGGTGCTGTCTGTTCTGTGGGGCCTGGAGACGGAGGAGGTGGAGGACATCCTGGAGGAGTTTGTGAACAAGTCTCTGCTCTTTGTGGACAATCACAACAAGCCCTACCTGTACTACCTCCATGACCTGCAGCTGGACTTCCTGGTGGAGCAGAACCGCACCCAGCTGGAGGTGAGCTCAGATGCAACCTAACACAAACTGTTGGATTTCAAATCTCTTTAAGTGGGCTGATTTGTATTACTTTGTGTTTTTCAGAGCCTCCACAAGAAGGTGGTGCATCAGTACCAGCAGCACTACAGAGACGGGCCCCCCACCTCAGGAGATGAGGAGTGTCTGTACTGGATCAGATTCCTCACACACCACATGGCCAAAGCCAACCTCTCCCAGGTAACACACACACACACACACACACACACACACACACACACACACACACACACACACACACACACACACACACACACACACACACACACACACACACACACACACACACACACACACACACACACACACACACACACACACACACACACACACACACACACACACACACCATTTTACACACATGATAGTTTTAGGTCACACACACAACAAATATGATTAAATACATATTATCTAAAAAATAGATAAATGCTTAAGTAGCGACCTTGTGGACTTTAGATAATAAATATTTGCTTCTCTATAACAGGCCATAAATGCAGTATAGAATAATATGTAATAATAATAAATATCAAATAAAGAATAGTTGCCAAAAATGGGATTTATGCTGTCAATTAAAGCTCTCTGTCTCCTCCTGTGTTGCTCTCACTCTCTCCATGTGTAGGAGCTGTACTCGCTCATGTTTTCTCTGGACTGGGTCAGCGTCAAGGCCCGGATCATGGGTCCAGCTCACCTCATCAACGACTATATGGAGTATGGACCCGTTCTGGACAAAGAGGTTAGCAGAAAATAAAACTTTACAATGTGTGAAAGACAGCAAGTTACATGGTGTGTTAGTTGCTGGTGGTTCACTGTCCCAAGACAAGAAAGGAAGTGAGTATGACATCATTTTTATTTGGTGAAATATGAATCATGACAAAATATGAGTTCCTGTTTAGGGAAATTGCGGGTTTAGAGGTCCAGTAGTTTAATCAGGTATAGTATAAATACAATATGTATGAATTCAATTTAGGATTTCTGAAAGCACTGAGTCACACACTTTCAATACCACCAGAAAACGTCACAACTTAGTCTCATTAGTCAAATGTTTGTGTGTGTAGGCTTAACTGTGTTCATATTGTCTGTCCCTCCAGAACAGTGACGTGCGCAGTCACTTCCAGGAGTTCCTCTCTCTGAACGGCCACCACCTGGAGCAGCGTCCGTTCCCTGACGTGGTGCAGCTGGCTCTGTCGCAGCCCCACAGCTCCGAGGTGTACCGCCAGGCTCTGTTGCAGGCGCAGGGGGGGGCCCGCACAGGGAAGCTCTACTTTGACTGGCTGTACGCAAGCTCATATATTACTGTCCTACTTAAATGCAGCTTTTTTACATTTTCACTCACTTTATATTTTTTGTCATGATTTATAGCAAATATTTCATTGCTAACCGTAAGGAAAATTGGCAAAAATCTACATTTTCTTTGAAACCTGCACACTGACTTTGTGAAATATTCATGACGAGTCAATGAAACTAAAATGTATTGATGCAATGGCCACCTATTATCTCATTCAAAATTATTAAGTGAGATGAATACATTTAATTGGGCATTAAGCCGGATTCGTCCAATGCAAAATAATGTTATATTCAGCTACATTATACATGTAATATTGTAAACATAGATAAAAACAATTCTAAAAATGAATTTACCAACACTAGTTTTGAAAGTAAAACATGATTTAGTAAAAAATCACTCCTTTTCTGCACAAAATGAACCCTATTGTACAAAATACAATACAAAAATGGTGATGAAAGGCTGTTTTCCAAGGTTGAACTAATATTTGTGTTGTTCTTTGTTTTTTTTGCGCAGGAATAAGAACAGTGTGGAGAATCTGTCCCGGCTGGTGCTCCACCCCCAGCAGGGCTCCATCTACTCCGCCTGCTTCTCCCACGATGGAACCAGGATCGCCTCCTGTGGAGCCAGCAAGACACTGAAGGTATCACAGCACACTGTTTGTTTCTTTTGAGTGTGTCTGTGTTGTCATGGCCTGGCTCTTGGCCATAACAAAAAGCGTGGGAAGGACAAGAACATATATGAAAAATATATTTATTAACAAAAGTTTAACGTAAACCAAGAAAAACTAACACAAAGGAAAAGCAAAAAGGCTAAGCGACGTGGCTGCTCCGCGGTCAGGTCCTCTGCGGGGAGAGAGAGATCGAGAGTCTGCTCAGGCCTTTAACTCCTCTGGTGCCAGCAGACAGGTGTCCTCAATCAGCGCTGACACAACAGAGGGAGAACATTAAAGGGCCATGAACACACACACCACAGGAGACGGTAAAGCAGGGGTCGTCACAGTGTACAGAGCAAACCGTTTCCATGGAGACATAATACTGGAAAATATGAAGGACGATCCACTTTTATTGCTAGATGATGTTATAAAATAAATAATAAAATGCATCCACTTGAAATACACAATGTCTAAGTGTATCTTGTGTAAGCATATGTAAACGTGCAGTGTGGTAAATACACTGTATCATATGTTATCTTTACTATTATTTATGAATTATTCTCAATTACAGGTGAATGTTAGTATTCAGTGTCTCTACACACGGACATGTCTCCTTGCTTTTAATGTTCAAAAAGATCTTTATTTTTCTCATACTGCCTGTACTGCAGCACCTCTTTTCACCCTCTGTCTGAAACCAGAGTCCAGTCTGCTCTGATTGGTTAGCTGGCCGGCTCTGTTGAGATTGGTCAACCACTTAGAGATGTACCACCCCCTATCACGTACAATGTGTTGGAGCGCTAGCCAATAGAAGAGCGAGTGTTGCATAGTGATGTCAATATGTTACTGAAGTAAACAAAGGACTACTTTGAGGCAATAGGTTTATTCCCTCTAAAATCATGAGGTTTATAATTCCACTTACGAAGAAGACCACTTGATCTTTTGTTGTAAAGTTTCCACAGGAAAACAGTGCGTGTTCCTGATGTGTGATACGATATTTCTAAATGTACTCCACATATTGCTGTGTAACTGCTGTCATCCTACCTTTCTGTATGCTCAGGTGTTTAGGAGCACCTCAGGTGAGAAGCTCACAGAGATCCAGGCCCATGACGACGAGGTGCTCTGCTGTGCCTTCTCCCCTGACGACCGTCTCCTAGCAACCTGCTCCAGCGACAGGAAAGTCAAGGTAAGCAGAAACCTGATTACAGCCACAGACAGAAAACACACAAAATCTAGGATTATTAGATGTTATCATATGATTTTTGAAACTGTGTGTCTCTGTGTAGGTGTGGAACGTGGAGCGAGCCATGCTACTGAGGGTCTTTGAGGAGGAGCATTCAGAGCAGGTCAACCACTGTCAGTTCACCAACACCACAAAGCGCCTCCTGCTGGCCACCTGCTCCAACGACAAGTTCCTGAACGTCAAGGTGTGCAAGTTTACTTAAACAAGTAAAATATACAGTAACCCTGAGAGGAGAGAGTGCATAGTTTGCAAAACACAAGCAACCTTTATCGTCAATTTATCAACATGTCAAAACAAAATGACATTTATGACAAAATAAATGTTACAGAAATACATTTAGTAAATTAGGAAATCACAACAAAACTTGTTTATGCTACTTGCATTGTGTCTGTCCTTGGTTTCACTCTTTTTGCCATCGTAAAAGTCACGACTTTTAGGGAAGTTACTTTACTCATTTTATTACAACCAGCAACTGTTGTGCACCTTCCTCTGTTTTGTTTCTCTCTTCCTGTTTCTCTTGTACTTCTTTATCTACTTCTTACTGTATTTCTCTCTGCTCGCAGCTGTGGAACCTCAACAAGCCCTCCTCCCAGAACACCATGTTTGGTCACTTTGAGCCAGTCAACCACTGCTGTTTCTCCCCCGATGACGCCTACGTGTCCACTTCCTCCAACGACGGTACCGTTAAGGTGACTGCCACAAAGCCTCACACTGTCGCTGTCTTTTCTTTCTTTTCTTTTTGACTTTTTATTTCATTAAACAGATGCCTTTTGTTCAGAAAATAAACTCATATATTTATATACATTATAGGCAACAGAAAAACTAGAAAACAATACTCAATTTCAACTGAAATACAAAAAATGCAATCTAAGCAGTAATATATTTAAAGTTAGATTAAAGCTGATAACAAAGCAATGGCTTATACAGTTCATTTTTCATATTAGGTCGAACACAATAGTGGGATGATTTCACATATTTACATTCATACTCGCTTACATACACCTGTTCATATACTTTCTTGTAGAGAATAAGACAACATACTTAGTACACTCTCAATACTCGTAAAAATAATAATAAAAATGCACATCAAACTGTATTTGATCCCTGCGTGTTCTATGCACTCTAAAATATTGCTTATTTGCGATGTAACTAAATGTGTGTGTGTTCCTGCGTGCATGCAGCTGTTTCAGGTCTCTTCTGCCAACGAGTGGAAGACGATCAAAGTGAGCGACATGTTTGAAGAGAGCGATGAAGAGGTGTTCGTCAAGTGCAGCACCTGGACGGCTGACGGCAAACGCATCATATGTGCAGCCAGGAACGCTGCTCTGGTGAGCTATTGTGAACATCTTTATATTTTAATGAGTGGACTAGATGCTGCTGTTTGATGTGTATGGGGTATTTGAAAGATAAGATAAGATAAGATTAAATACATTATTAAAAAGTAAAATATATACAATATATTGACCGTGTAAGATATAAATCTGTAGACTATCTGTCAAATAAACACTATAATAGGCCAAATTATGGCTAACAAGTAGCATATTAATTACATTAAGTCTGCAAAGAATAGCATCTTAAATTAAATATGAATGTCAAAGTGTGAAGGCACTTTATACAGATGGATGAAGAACGGTTTTGAAAGTAAAATATGTCTAAGTTGTAATAGTGATGTTGTAAATGATTTGGACGATGATCTATCTTGTCGTACATTCAAGATTCTAAAACTTTATTGCCACATGCACAACAGCTACAGCGTAGTTTTTGCAATGGAAATCTTAAGGCTCCTCCAACAATGCAACAATGATATACCTCAGACATAACACAATACAAATAGTGCAAGAAGAAACAGGAATAGAATTAAAATAGTGCAGGAAATGGTGAATTCTGAATGATATATAAATGTGTGAGCTCTAAACAGATTTATAAACATCCACTATCCTCTCTAACAAATGTAGACGTAGAGGACAGCCTCATCAGTTTTGTCTCGGCTTTAAAGATGAAAATGCAACATGGAAGGTGTTCTCTTTGTCCTCCCTGCCCTTTATCTCAGTGTGTCTTTTTATTGAGGGAGACAGGGAAGAGAGGCTGTTTGTCACGTTGTCTTCCAGAGAGTCTAAGGTGTGTGTGACCTGGTTTTTAAATGCGAGCAGCCCCTCCCCTGCAGTCCCCTGCAGCCCCCCCCCCCCCCCCTGCCGAGCTTTCCAAAATCAGTCAGTCTTGTCCTGCAATCAGACTGTCTGTGTCCTCTACGTCTACATTTGATAGTATTCTGGGAAACATCCCAGCAGAGACGTCTGAGTTTGTTCCTCTGACTTTCAGCAGAGGAACACAAGACTTTATATGGAAGATCACTGCAAATAACCTAATAACCTCAAACATGTTTGAGGTTATTAGGAAACATGTTTCCAACAATGGCCGATATGTATGGAAATGTATTATCCAAAAGAATAAAATTGTTGCTTTTTAAATAAGTTGTGAAGGTAGCCCCTGCCAAGTAGAGTCTGATGTGTTTTTGTGGCTGAGTTTCAGGTGTTTGACGTGGAGACATCAGACATGTTGTTGGAGATCAAAACCAATCGTCTGAGCACGGTGCAGTTCTGTCACGCCTGTCCTACCAGCAACCTGCTGGCTATCGCCTTCTCCAACTACGCTGTGGAGGTAACAGTGCAGATTACATACAAACAAACTGTATATTATAGTCTTATTTATGATCAAATATGTCAAAAACATGAATAGATCCTGTTTTAGAGCAGCGTTTTCAACCTTTTTTGAGCCACGGTACATTTTATACATAAAAAAAATCCCACGGCACAACAACAACCAAAAAAGTTACTAAATTACACATTTGAGCCTAATACAGCATATATATAAAAATGGTGATTAAATGACAAGTCCCTCAATCTGGCTCAATCAGCTCTCTTTGTGGTTTTTCTCATAGTTAACCGTTTCTCAGTTTGTTAGCGCAGGCGAACAAAATAGTCTCTGTTCTTGTTTTGAAGTGACAGGTGTTTCATTTGGAGATGAAGTTTGCCCTTGCTTGGGACCATGGCACTGTTGGATTGTATTTGCAGCAACTAAATAATATTCTTTTGGACCGACTGAGTGAAATTGGACAATTCTCACCACACACCTCGCGATCTTTTACAGCACCATGGTGTGCCACGGCAGATTTGTACTTTTATTATGTTGAAAAATACATGTATGAATTGTCTTTAAAGCATTCTTTCCTCTATGTCCAATTGTTCTGCATCTGTTTCTGCATTGTTACTGCACTGATGTGTCTTAAGCTAATATTTGACCAGTGTGTCTTCCAGCTGTGGGACCTGGAGAGCAATAATAAGGTGGCAGACTGCAGCGGTCACCTGAGCTGGGTGCAACGCGTGGAGTTTTCTCCTGACGGCTCCCAGCTGCTCTCCTGCTCCGACGACCAGACTGTCAGGGTGAGGCTGACTCAGCGTGTGTGTTGCTCTGTGTGTGTGTCTGCATCAGTGTGTGTGTCTGCATCTGTGTGTGTGTCTGCATCAGTGTGTGTGTCTGCATCAGTGTGTGTGTCTGCATCAGTGTGTGTGTCTGCATCTGTGTGTGTGTCTGCATCAGTGTGTGTGTCTGCATCAGTGTGTGTGTCTGCATCAGTGTGTGTGTCTGCATCAGTGTGTGTGTCTGCATCAGTGTGTGTGTCTGCATCAGTGTGTGTGGTGTGTGTGTCTGCATCAGTGTGTGTGTCTGCGTCAGTGTGTCTGCTTGCTCTGATACTGTCAGTATTCTTCTAATTACTGCTTGTGAAATCAAAACAATGCCAACACAGAACATGACAAGTTCAGTAATCCCCCTCCGCCTGCTGTTAGGTTTCAGCTCAGGAGTTATGTGTCCAAAAATCTAACTTTATTTTCTACGAACGAAAGCATTGTATTAGGAACTGTTTTAGGTCAGAATATAAATAAAGAATATAAAAGGATGTGTTATAAAGGAAACTGGAGTTCGATGCAGCTGTTGTCTTGACTCGCTTCAGGCTTTTGTCTCTGTTATTGAGGTTATGTAAACTGTTAGCTGATTTATGCTGACTCATTGCTCCCTTGAACATGCAGTATTGGCCATAAACAAGCTGTACAATTAAGTCTTATATTAAATCTTTATTTGCAGATGAACCGTTATGAATGGCTGTAACACATATTGTTGTTTGAAGGCGGTTGAAAAAAATGAGATAAAAGGTATTTTGATGCAAATGAAAGCTGTCAATACACGCCTTATCGATTTAAATGACAAACTTAAGATGTCAGAATATACAACTTAAGACTCTCTATTTTACCCAAATGTTAAGATTTTATTTTGGTGAAATTATTCTACAGTAAGCTGTATGTTCCGAATCAGTGTTATAAATGAGTCTTCTAAAAAAAAGCATAAATAATTGATTAAAAGACAAGTAATAATTGTTAAAAAAGTAAATCATCAATCATAGACAGGTGAGGAGAAACAATATAATAAAAAAATTGGGATAATAGCCCCCATCTAATCCTGTCAAACCCAATGAGGAAATTCAGTTTTACGGGCCATATACTGATGATTTATGTATTACCACAGACAGGTTATTCCCAGTTTGTCTCCACAGAAAAAGACCAAATATCAATAGGCAACGTCCCTGTCTATGAAAACACATTTTGGTGCCAAGATTTTCTCACCCAAGATGTTTTCCTCTGCATAAAAACAGCTTACAAAGTAGTGATTCAGGAGAACAACCACACCAACAGTGACTGCTGGCTTTATCTCTTCCAGTGTAAGTTAATATTAAGCCTGTTTCCTGTCTTGTGTTTATTGTAGTTATGGGAGACGAAGAAGGTGCACACCTCTTCAGCTGTCTGCCTGAAAAGAGACTCTGACGTTCTCTTCAACGATGAAGAAATCATCGTGTCAGCTGCAGACAACTGCAACAGACTGCAGGTGAGCCGGAGAAAATACAAAGAGACACTGAAGCAATGAATAATGGTTGGAGCCGGCATTTTGTTTTCTTTGGTTTTAAGTGAAGACAAGATTTACGGTACTACGATGTGCTTTCATCAGGTTTAGGTTAGGTTAAGGTTAGTTTATTGATATAGCACACTTCAGACACAAAGGCAAATCAAAGTGCTTTACATTGGCACTAACACATAATAATTAAAAACTAAATGTTTTTTCATAAAATATAAAAGAATAGTTAAAAAAATAGATATGGTAAATACAGATAATGCAGCAAAAAGTGCTGAAGTGCAATGATAAAGCATAGTTATATTATCTCTGTAAAAGCAGCATTAAAGTGATTTAAATAACCCAGGGTTGGGGCAGACCTCAGGTGTGGATGAATTTGGTTCTGACCCTGGGGACAATGCTTCTGTTGTCATAGAATGTGTGTGTGTTTCACTGTGTGTGTGTGTGTCAGGTGCGTGATGGCCGCACAGGGTCGGTTCTGTTCCAGTCGGAGGAGATGTCGTCGAGGATCCGCTGCACCTGCATGTGCAGACAGCCCTCTGCTGTGGCTCTGGGTCAGGAGGATGGCACTGTACAGGTAGAACACACTTACACCTACAGTACATCCTGAATGAGTTACACACAGTGGTAAAAAGGGACCAAAAACTTTCATTATGCTGAAGGATGCTGAAATGACAAGTCGATTCACCCACAGTAAAATGAACAACAACAATCTTTATCAAGCAAAAATGAACCACAATCAATAAGTGGTTTTAATTCTACATTATAAATTATATAGATGTTGTGCTCTTCTTTGATCCGAATCAGAAATGGTTTGCCCATATAAGGAATTTGTCTTGGTGATAAGGTGCATAACAAAAAAACTGTGCAAAAGTCAAGAGACATAATTATAAAATAGGACCTTTGCAGTAGAAAAGATAAAGAAATACATCAAAATATGTATCTGTTTTTAGGTTAAAAGAGTTGTACAGTTTCTGCAGGAATGTGCCAAATATTGAACAGGGGGTGTGAAAAATGAATGAATTCTTATTAATATATTACATAATATATATTATTATTATGTTTGGGTTATAGTGTTGATCAGGAAAAAAATTTAAATGTAAAACTTACCCTTGAACTGGAAAAATTACATTTTCACCATTGTGTGTAGGGCTGTGATTAATCTGCATTATTTTCATTAATAATTTTGCATACTGTGAGTTCAAATGAATTAATCACAATTTCACTTAAATTAGTGTGTGCATGCGTTTTACGAGTCCTCATGTGTGTGTCTCGATTCCTTGTGGCTGCCGGAGGTGTTTTTCAGACCATGTTGAGTCATGAGATCTGACATTAGCACTGTCACCCTTCTTATCCGTCCTGTCAGCTACATCAGGTCAGCTCACCCCCCCCTCTTTCATCTCCCTCTCCCTCCTCCTCTCTCTACCATCTCGCAGGTAAAAGGAAAGGCAGAGAGCCTTTCCTTTTACCTGCGATTTGTATTCTCTCCACTCCTGCTCTCACACATTTGACCATCTCTGTCACATAACTTGTTTTATTCCCTCTTTTGTTTTGTTTATGTCTCCTCCTCCTTTTGTTCCGCCTGTCCCTCAGCTCCCCTCCTTTTGGTGATACATTGTTGTGTTTGCAGACTGAGAATGAGTTCATAGTCTGCGATGTGGCAGGTGTGAGTTCTTTCGTGTGTGAATACACTTGTGTGTTGCTTTTTATGGACATATTGCACCAGTGAATGTCATCGGTGAAAGTTCCTGTCCTATATTAATAATACACACGGTCCCCTGAGATATGACCAGGCCAGTGTCCTACTACAGAGCAACACTAATTAATTTAAAGGTTTTGCAGGCTTATTGAACATAGGTGTTAATGATTTTTAATTACTCCTGACCCTAGAGATATAAGAGGAAAGGATTAGTAGAGATAAGGACTTAAAGAAGAACAGATGATTACTAATCTGAGGTCTTTAAAGTAGGAGAGGCTGGAAAAGAGCACTAAAGGAGAATGACATACTTTCAGTTGATGCACAACATGTATTTCAAAATCCTATCAGTTCTTTCTGTGATAAGCATTTCATTTTAACATAAATTGAAGCTGTTCATCCTATGATTTAAACCTACTACTTAATTTTGAAACATGTAGTGTTAAGAAAGTCAAAACAATTACCAAAATGTGTACAGGTTACCAAAAACGGTCAAATACTGAAAGCGGGTCTTGTATTTCTACTCAGATTTGATCTGACAGTTCATGATATTAGTCAGAACATTGCCCGTTTTAATTTTTTTTTTAATAAGGTAAAGTCCTTTTACAGTTGCTGACAATATTTGAATTTGAGAGGCTTCTTTTTTTACGTGAGGAATATAAAATTCTAGCAACTTCATTAATTGTAGGGAAAGCATCAAAAGATCATTTAATGAATCAAACATTATTTGTTTCCATTGTCATGGATTACGTCCTTTAAATACTTCCAAATGATTTTTCTTTCTGGTTTGAACATTCAATGTAAGCCCATTGAACATTATAGTTTGTGTTTCATACTTTATAAGTTACCTTTAACAGATTTATATACATTAAAGTGTTATTAATCTCCATGGAGTCCACACTGTTGTAGTCCTGTAAACAGCCACCAGAGGGAGCCTGGTGTCTGCTGCATGTGACCACTGCAGGAGAAGGCAATCATCCCCTTTCCCCTTATCTGAGTTATTTACAACCAGTTTACTGGAGGAGAAATGAGAAATAATTCAACATCTTCAGTGTCAGTGTGACCTACAATCTTTGTTCTGCTGATGGGAAGAATCTCTGACTTCTAAGATGTGCAGGCAAGGACAGAAAGTTACAGGACAGTGAGTTTCTTTGCCATGGAAAAGGTGCAACTGTGAGTGTGTGTGCGCCTGTGTGTGTGTGTGTGTGTGCGTGTATGTGTTCTGTGCCAGGGAGCTAGACTGACAGCTAGTGAGGTACTGAAGACAGTTTGCTGCAGGATCCTCCGACTTCTGACCTCCTTCAGAGGAGTGATGCTGGCTGTAGGGCTGAGCTCAGGCAGCGTGCAGGTATGGTAGGGAAAGAGTCATATCTGTATGTGTAAAATAACAAACATGTATAGTGTGTATTCATTTTTAAAATGTTCCTAATAACTGATATTGTCCAATCCTACAGATCAAGCCTCAACACGGACCTCTTTTATCAATTTTTCACGAGTTCTGCCACTTTTTAGCTACTTTTTTAAAGGTCACCTATTATGCAAAATCCACTTTTTCACGTCTTTTATACATCAACATGTCTGTGTAAAGAGATTCTGAAAGTTTCAGGAAAAAAGATTCACTCACTTTTTGTCCTGATCTAAAAGAAACCTGTCTGAAAATGGGCTGATCAGATTTTGGCCACTTTATGATGTCATAACGATTTTTTTGGCTTGTGTAACCATTAGCCAAAAACCCCCCACCTTATCACCTGAATCTCCTCCTAGAGCACCATTGTGTTCTTTTTAACCAAATATCTCTCAGAGGGGCGTGGGGAGGGGCTCCTTATTTTCATCTAAAGTAACAGACAGAGAATCAGCTCTTTTGAAACAGGGCTGAAACAGAGGGGATTATGGGATGCTGCAATGATCTGATTGGTGTTTCGAGCCAAACACTTCAGAGACATGTTTTGTATATATCTGAGACCTACTGTATAATATATTGATGAAAAACAGTATAATAGGGGACCTTTAACACACTTGGTAGTAGTAATCAAAAACAACTAATCCCCATCTTTCGTTCTTTATATCTTTACATTATCCTGCACCATCACAGGACATCTTGAGCAGTATGTGTGAATCTCTCAGGCTTTGAAACGTCTCTCAGTACATGGAGCTTGACAAACATGGCCGCCGTGCCCCAGGCTTGTTCCGCTCAGACATTACATCCCTCTCCTCTGAGATGTTAATATTTTAGTGGCTGGCAAAATCCCAAGCATTACTTCTCTGTTGTACTTTCAAAACTACAGGTGCCGTGCGGAACACAATGTTGTGCGTCCTGGTCCTTACATGTCATTTCTGAGCTTTATTTCCTGTTTTGTTAGAAAGTTGCAGCTGTAGCTACATTTGAGTATTTTTTGTTATCAAATGATGGATTTATATTGAGGTTAATTAGAAAAATGGAAGTGCTGAAAAATATTTTATAATCTATACCCATGTTTCACCTCATTATACCTTAATTAGCCTTCTTTGTGCTAGTCATTGATAGGTTCATTTCAGTGGTAAATATAGCGATTCAGCTTCTCCAACAGTTATGTGTTGCTGTCAGTGAGTTGGGTAGAAAACAAACTTTTTTCTTGCAGCTATCCCAAGATTTTTCTTCTTTTGATCATCAAAGCTGTTTTGTTCTGACTCCCTGAGTAATGTCTGCAGGGCACACCCCCCACACCCCCAGACAGGACTCAGGCTCACGCTGAGAGCTCAAACCTTCCCCTAAACTCTACTCTGTTTTTGATGTGCTTATCGCCATCAGGCCAGCAGCAGCACTTCAACTCTCACTACTGCAAAATGTAACTTTGTGTCGACATTTTTGGTAAAGTTTCAGGATTTCATTCCTCCCTGAGTCTCTTTTGGCAAACATAAATATTCTAGACACTGTGTGTGAACTTTGTGTGACTTCTTGGTACAGTAAATAATATCTCAGTGTATGGTATTTACATTTTTTGGGCCAAGAGGTATCTTTACACACAAGCATACCCATACTATAAAGTGTTTTGTAGCCACACCAGGGGTCAACACAACACTAACATATCTATGCAATATATACTATCTATAAAGATTTAGTTTGCTATGATATTTTGTATAAATGTTGATGCTCCCAAAAAGATGAAACCCACAGACTTTCTTTATCTCCTTACTTTTATGCCTTCATGAAATTCACATCTTTTCTCTTTTGTAAAGTATCCCTAAAATTGAATCAGCTGATGGCAAATCAATTGGGTACACAGAGCTCACGCCATTATTTGGTCAACATTTCATTTTATAATTTAAAAAAAAAGACCAAAATATCTGCCAAACAAATGACTTAATGATCAACCATAGCTTGCCTTTGTGTTAATTAGCATATGTTAGCATGTTATCAAGATAAAATAAGATAAGATATGAATCCCAAAGTTAAATTCAGGTGTTATAGCAGCAACAATATAAGAGGCAAACACATGAGAATACACACAAAGATAATAAGAACAATAATAACAAATAATACGAAAATAAAATAAGAGAAAAACATGTAGGAACAGTGTGAATAGAAATAACTAAAATAACATGAGTTCATCTCTGATCAGGGGAATGTACCTGCACCTGTATCTATCACACTGAATTCATTTGGTGAACATGTCAAACATTATATCAGCGTGTTAGCATGCTGATGTTAACATTTGAATCAAAGCCTCACAGATGACTGTTACCTCTTGTCCCTTCCTCCAGGTCTTGGAGGTGCCCTCTGGGAGGCTCCTGGCCACTCTGCTGGGACACACCAAGACGGTGCTGCACTGCCGCTTCAGCCCGGACGGCCAGACCCTCATCACATCCTCCGAGGACACCACCATCAGGGTGAGCTGGGAAATGTATTTATCTTATTCCCAAATCAGCATCAGCTTTATTGCCAAGTATGTTTTCACAAACAAGTGATTTGCCTTGGTGTATATGGTGCATAAACACAGTTGAAGAAGATACATTGTAAGAAATACACCCCAAATAAAAAAAGTTATACAAAAATAAGTCAAACTATTATAACATTACAATTATTTACATTTAATGTATACAGTAGATATACCAAAAAACAACGTGCAGTATATTATGAGAACATACTCATAATATGTAGTATTGTTATGAAAAGTTGAAAGCAGTGCAGATATTTAGAGAGGTAGCTTGTGTGCAAATGTGCAACATATTCGGAAGGTTGTGCAGAACTGGCAATATAAATGAAATAAATAAAAACTGGGATCAAATCTAAACTCCTCTCCTCCACCAGTTACTCCTTCCTCTCGCTTCCTGCTTGGTTTTTCCGTTTCCTCCCATCCATCACCCTCACCCTCTTTCCTTCCCTAATTCATGGCATGTTCTTTCACCTCCTCCCCCATCCATCATCACCTTGAGTAAAACTGCCTACTCTGCTGAATCACTCCCCTCAGTGCTCTGTGGTGCCTTCACTTCCCTCTACCTGTTACACTGCTCTGCCTCTTCCTCTCTTTGGTCTCCTCTCCTTCCTTCCTTCCTCTCTCTCTCTCAACGGCTCTTTATCTCCCTCCCTCTCCCATGTTGCCCGTGTGCTTCTATCAGTGTTTGTGTGTGAGCATATGTGTGTGTTTCTGGCCGTTATGGTCTGTCAACCCCCACTGTTCATGCTCTGTTGCCCATTTTCTCCCTCCTCCTCCTCCTCCTCCTCCTCCTCCTCCTCCGTCTTCTTCATCTTTCCTTTTTGCTGACAGACCTGTCCACTGCAGCACTTGTTCCGTATTCATGCGGCTGCTGCCTTTGCCATCTCTATTCTCGCTCCGTCCACCTCTTATTCAGAAGCTATCCAGATTCATGCTGTTTGACATCAGCTAGGAAACGGGAGTGTGTATTTAGATGTTAATGCAGACGCAGAGTGAATGTAAAGAGATCCAGATGACCGTGATGTTAGCCGGTGATGGATTCTAACCTTTGGGCCGGTGACAGATTCTATTCAGAAGGAGGAAAGAGGCAGAATTGCACACAAGGGCGTGATTGATAAGATGATGAGGGCGATTCTAAGTGTTCTGCCCCCATCTCTGAGCTCCGTTCTTTTTTGCTTATTAACCTGCGTGTCATAAAATCAGAGATGTGAAGATACTTCACGGATGCATTAGCACACGGAGCACACCTAAGCAGGGCAGACAGATCATTTCAAACTTGACACCAATTGAAACAGAAACGGCCTTTAATTTGAGTTATTTTCATTACTTTTATTTGGGAGATTGTTATTGAGAAGACTGGGAGTTCATCTTGGTTCCTAATGAAGATTTCTGCATATACACTGTACCTGTTATTTAAATGTATGTTAATGCATCAAATTGGTATTTAAAGGAACATTTATTCTCTAATTGTGTTTATTCGGACCTCCACAGTAACGTTTTGGGAAATAAAAAAAATACCCAATGGACATAATTATGAGACGAGGGTTTGAGAAAAATACCAAAATGTTCCCTCAGTAGCCCAAGCTTTTAAAATCAATAGTCGTCAGACCTCTCACCTTCGAATGAACTTTTAAAACAACAAGTTTAATCTTAAAATAACTATACTTAGATTCTGTAAAAGTTCTATCCAATACAGAGACTTTTAACGTGAATTTTCAAACTTAGCCCTCACAGAGGTAAATGGATGTCATACATCATCAGAGGAAGTGGCCTAGGGAAAGAAATGCAAGGTAACAACCAATGCTGTGAGGAACTGGACAGCACAGACTTTCTCATCTGGAAGAAGTTGGTAGACAGAAGTGTCTCCTGTTAGAATTCTATGGATTGTGGGTAATTTACCCAAGAAAGTCAAAATCTCTGAGTCTGTTAGTGGGGGAAATGTGTTTAAGTTAATAGCACCAATGTTAGAAGTATTCTTTAAAGTCTCTTTTTCCTCCTGCAGGTGTGGAGGTGGCAGTCTGGGGAGTGCAAAGTCCTGCAGGGTCACAAGGAGCAGGTGAGATGTTTCTCTCTGCTCTCCACCTTTCCCTCCGACACCAGACTGCTGTCCTGGTCCTACGACGGCACTGTGAAGGTAAAGCTCATACACACACACACACACGTATATATATTATTTTACAGCTGCAGAAAATAAAATCCAAAATAACCCCCCTCTTTCTCCTGCTCACTGTAAGATGTGGGACACAGAGGGGGGGGAGAAGCTGCAGGACATCGAGGCCCACCGGGGAGCCATCCTGTCCTGCCACGCCTCTCCAGACGGGAGCCTCTTCGCCACCACTTCAGCTGACAAGACTGCTAAGGTCCAACACTCAAACACACACCCATGGGATGAGACATATCTGTTTGCGCCGGTGCCAACAACGTGACCTATTACACATCTGCGTCTCCCCCTGAAGCCCCCCTTCCCAACTCATTACTTACAGCACATGCACAGGGACGCGCTGCTGCGGGCGATATCTGAGGCTGCGTTTCTCTCCACTAGGGAGGGGGCGGTCCTTACATAGTAGCGAGCACCAGATGGCCCGGGGCCTGGTGAGTTAGCGGCAGGTCCTCCTACACCCACGTTCAGTGATCGTTTAGTCTGGCCTGCATCAGACCCACTTCCATGTCTGGATGTATTTCTTTGCCAGTTTAGCAACACTGCTGCGCTCTGACTTTGCTCTGACTTTGAATGACTCAGTGGGCTAGAGATGTCTTTTTTAAACTTTCCCCAAGCTACTCTCGTACCTTTCTTTTTCATCATCCACACAAAACGATAGGCAAGGCAAGTTTATTTATATAGCACCTTTCAACACAAGGCAATTAAAGGGCTTTACAACAATGAAAAACATTAAGAGCATTAGGGAAATCAGCGGAATCACATTATAAAATGTAATTCAGAAACAGTCAGTAAAAAGCAAAGGGAATAAAATAAACATGAAACAAGCTAATATAGAATAAGACAGGTCTTAAATACACGAATAACAGTTACAGTGCAATGTGAGATAAGAATAGTTCAATTCAAACCTGCAGGATTCTGGGAGATTTTTCCAGATATTGGGAGCATAATCACTGAACGATGCTTCTCCATGTTTAGTAAAGTAGCAGGAGATCAGGAACATATTTCCTTCCCCTAAACCATTCAGTGCTTTATAAACCCAGCATGTATTTTGACAAAGAAGCCAGTGTAAAGACCTCAGGACTGGAATGATAGCACAGTAAATGTTGAACTGTACTGAAACTCTCTTTTTCTCTCTTTTTTCTCACCATTCGTTTTCTTTGATCATGCTAACAGCTAGATTTAAGCTTATCCGTCCAATATTCAACCACACATAACAACTTTCCCTTCCTGAACGTCCAGTATTCAAAACAATCCAAAGTCGCTTCCCTTTCATTCGTCAGGGCGCTTGAGTGTAGAGCACTGTCCACCGAGTTTCACACGGGAATTTGGATTTGGTGGACACTTCCTGTAGCGAGCAGCCACTGCCAGCCAACCTGGCTTCTGTCAGAGGATGGTAGTAGTGACAGAGAATGTGTGTTTATGGATTGGCAAAGGTGTGTGTGTGTGTGTGTGTGTGTGTGTGTGTGTGTGTGTGGTGTGTGTGTGTGTGGTGTGTGTGTGTGATGTGTGTGGTGTGTGTGTGTGTGTGTGTGTGTGTGTGTGTTGTGTGTGTGTGTGTGTGTGTGTGTGTGTGTGTGTGTGTGTGTGTGTGTGTGTGTGTGTGTGTGTGTGTGTGTGTGTGTGTGTGTGTGTGTGTGTGTGTGTGTGTGATGTGGTGTGTGTGTGTGTGTGTGTGTGTGTGTGTGTGTGGTGTGTGTGTGTGTGTGTGTGTGTGTGTGTGTGTGTGTTGTGTGTGTGTGTGTGTGTGTGTGTGTGTGTGTGTGTGTGTGTGTGTGTGTGTGTGTGTGTGTGTGTGTGTGTGTGTGTGTGTGTGTGTGTGTGTGTGTGGGAGATGCCAGTCACAGACTCAGTGCTCTCCAGACCGAGTAGGGCATCAGTAGCTCACACAAACATAGAGTCCCTGCTCTCTATTGATCCAGAGGTCAAACCTAAAGCGAGTGTCTTTGTTGAGCACTACAAAAAGATGGAGGCTTCTCTGTCCGTTCCTTTTCCTCCACCTCTATTTCTCTGCTTCCTCTTCTCCTTTCTTTCCCTACTGACCTTCACATGAATGGTACTTTGTGTGCAGACAGAGTTAGCCCGCTGCCAAATGAAGGGTCTAATTATGAGCTGTGTTATTTTCTGTGCGGCACAGAATGTGACCAGGGTCAGGAAGGAACGCAGAGAGAGAGTGGATGAGGAAGAAAGGAGGAATATAGAGAGACACAGAAAACTAAGAAGGGAATTCAAAAGAAAGTGAGAGACAGAAAACAACAGTGAGAAAGCACTCATTAACAGTTTCATTATTGTGATGCAGCGTTCTAGCAACAGTAACTCCAATTTCGCACAAATATTTGTCTTCATAAGATTTTTTAATTAGTGATGACTGGTGAGTACAGAAATACAACATATTATTATCAAGATTCAAAGGCGTTATTGTCATATGGCAATGGAAATCCTCCAACAACAACATAAATATATATATATTAGACATAAAATAATTAAACAAATACAAAATAATGAAAGAAAAAGATTGACTAAGAATAATGTGAAAGTATTGCAAGAGAAGTATACTATATACATGTAAAATAGAATAATATGAGCTGAAAATATAATTTAAAATAAAATACTGTACACTTAAATAAAACACAGCTTATTGTAATAATATGTAAATATGTGAGATGCAAACAGGTGAATGGTATGAAGTTGTGAAGGCAGTTATTCCCCGGTCAACACTGCTGTCTTCATTTATATAATCAGATTTAACCAACAGTATAAATAACTCAAAGACAACAGAAACAGTTATTTGAGTCGTCTTCTAAATGCCTTCCTCTTAAAGGTAGGGTGTTAAGTTTGAGAAACCAGCTCGAGTGCGCTAGAATTTGAAAATACACAACCGGAGAAAATCTGCCACTTCCTTATAGAGCCCCTCCTCCAACACACACGAACGCGCACATGACCAATGAGGGCACGAGATAAGTTTGTGCACAGATGGAAGGCTGACAGGCAGGTAGGCCATCCAGTTATTTTAGCCCGGCCGGCTAAAATGATTGGTCGTGCTTTTTACAGTACTACGGCTTCCACAGATGACATTTTTTTATGGATTTTTTGTCAAAGCACTTAAGATATTCATTGCTATCGGGATGTTAAGAGCATTCCATGGAATATAACAAAAAGTGTATCTCGAGCCGGTTTCTCAAACTTACCTACCCTACCTTTAAATAAGAAATGTTTAGGCTAATATTGCACTATTGCAATGTGAAAAAGGCCGATTTTTACACTAACCCAAGTCATAATGTATACATTGTAATTTTTAGTTGTTTTATTTGATTTATTTCTTCTTTTCAGTCTCCATAATGCTTTATTTTATCCTCCCAGTTGTGGCACTGTGAGTCGTGGCAGTGCGTCCACACGCTGAGCGGCCACCAGGACTGTGTCCGGAGCTGCCGGTTCTCCTGGGACAGCCAGCGCCTCGCCACGGGAGACGACAACGGAGAGATTCGGGTGCGTGTTCCGACGGTTCATTATTTCCTTAACCTTCGCATTTCTCACTAAGGGTTGCCGATCGAGGAATTCAGGTTCATTAGCGAGCTGATTCGGCTGTCAGTGTCTAAGTAAAAGAAAGTGTAGAAAATGGGCAGCAGAACCTTTTAGAGGACAGTAAGGTCACTTGCACTGAAAAAACTGAAAGGTTGACTTTAAATAAATGTATTACGTCAACAGATTTCACATTTAAGCTTGCCGAAAGTAATATTAAGTGCTTTTTATTGCTTTCAATACACAGTTATGTGAAATCTGTTGACGTTATACATGCCTCAGGATACACACGTGAGTTCAAACACACGTTGCCCGTTGCAAAACATCCAATTTGCCGTGCAACATACAAAAACTCAATTAGAGCAGTCGACATGTCTTCCAGAGATCTGCCCGTAATTACAACCCATCACTCATTTAGAGAAAGTGCTTACTAATGCATCATGATTGCTGCAGTGTGCACAGAAGAGGGCGAGATGAAAGGAAGGAGGCAGGGCTCCTCCTCCTCCGCCTGGGGAGCGAGAGATTGAGGAGGTGCAGGTTGTGTGAGGAAGTCTGGATGAAGAGAGCAGGAAGAGGAGGAGATGCCTGACAGTGGGAGGTGAAGGAGAGAGGACTCCGGCTGCCAAACATGGACCCAAGAGGCTTCGGAAATCTGCAGTAAATGAAAAGTTTGGCTGTGTGAGAGGAAGAGAGGAAGATTCTTCATCCCGCAGCCAGCGAGGGGTTAACGCCCTGTGGTGGCCTCCGCTGCTCTGCCCCATTATCCAGAAATGGACGACTCCATCATATCCAATTACATAAAGCACACTGAAATCTAGCCCCTGTTTCTATGGAAACAAATGTGAGTCATTCAGCACAAAAAGCATGCCAAGTGTTAAATATAGCTGTACGTGTGATGTGTCATTGTCAAATGGACATGGCATGTGACCAGTTGCATAACAGCTGCAATCGACATGATGTGACGCTACAGTGATCAAACCATCGTTTCATTATTATGTAGGGCGTCACGGGTAGATTAACTCTGTATAGCACCCTGTGAATCCTTTTCATTTCTCGCTTTATTGAGTTTGAAGCTTCGTCTTGACCTTTAGAGACTTGTCAAAAAAATTTTTAGATCTTCATAAAATATGGCTTTTACTTGTTATCACGTGACCTGACAGACATAGACATAAGCTAGCATAAATCCAAAGAAATGTAATTATCCCTTGTAATGAAATTGATGTAGGTGCCGTCTTGTGTGTTTTAACCCTCCGGTATCACTCTGGACATTTTTGTCCTGAATGGCTAATTAGGTTAGTACATTTTAAATCTGACTCTTTTTTTAAAAAGCCAGCCCCCAGATATGTATTATATGGAAAATAACTAATTTTCTCAGTTTTTCTCATTAAAAACAACAGTGATTTCATGTTTTCAAAATGGAATTTAAAGGGTTAAAATCCTGAAAATGATTAAAGATTTTGTATTTTTGATTAGGACTGAAGTTGCTTTACAGATTGAACCAAAAAAAGGTGGTGGAAAAAATATTTTAAGATTATGTTTTTAGCAGTGGACATTTTTGTCCCGAAATGACTAATTAGGGTAGTCAATTTGAATGATACCGGAGTATTGCATCTTTGTTGTTTATAAGTGACATGTATTTGATGCTTGGTGTATAATGTCCACCACAGCTCTGGAGTGTCAAAGACGGCTCTCTGCTGAGGATCTGTTCCCGGGACGGTAAGGACGCCATGGACTCTCTGCACGGAGGCTGGGTGACCGACCTGCACTTCTCCCCTGACAACTCTCTACTGGTCTCCACTGGCGGATACATCAAGGTACGTGAACTTTGCATTCAGACACTTCTTTTGGGAAGTGGAGGTGGAGTTTGTAGGCAGATGTGTGGTGACTATCGCCACTCAATATCACCATGGATCGATACTGTGATATACACGTGCGCTCTCCAATTTACGACCACGACACTCTTGTTATTAATACCATTTATTAAACCCCAAAACAGCGTGTGTTTGCAACACGGTCGAAAACGGTTTGCTCACACAGACTCAATCACCCGCACCTGTGCCGGTGAGGTCAGCTAAATACCCTGTGCCCAATTGCGTCATCCAATGCTCACAAAAACATACAAATGGGCAAAACAATATGTATTACATTTGTTGTAAATGTAGGTCATTTGCGATGTTATGCCTTCATTAGAATAGCAACAAGCAGATGAAAGAAAAGAAAATGGTAAGAGAGATAGGAGATAATATGAAGCCTGTACATTTTGATTATTGCAAATACAATTTACATTTTGGTTACAATTGCTTTTTAAATTTTGTGTGTGAAACTCTTTCTCGAGATCATTTCAGAAATGGCTCCCATCCAGGTTTGATGACCCCTAGACAAGCAGGGTGCAAACAAATATATCATCTTTTTAACGGCACCTAGAAACGTTTTTTCACTATTCACCAACATCTGGTATTAAATGGCAAAACTAAAACTACTATTTAACAACGACCTCTCAGTTTACGACTGTATTGTATCTACTCCACCAGCATGTTAGCACCGCATTAGGAAACAGACTGGAAGTTGGCACCTAAACACTCCGTGTGCCTCTTCCTGCCCACGCTTAAACTTGAGTATATACTGTACACATAAAGTCACCTCTGCAGAGTTATGCAGCAGAATTCACTCGGCATGCCTTTTGCTTTTTCAACAATATATCCTTGTGTATGTGAGAGGGAGAATTAGTCATTGTGATTTATTGTAGAAACAACAGAAAAATGCCCCCAGCATGAACCATTGTTACTTTATATAGAGAAGCAATGCAGTGGGGCAGGTTTACATAAAAACACTCAATACCTGAGGGAGTCATATCGATGCCTCTTTGTGACGTGACCAGTATTGTGTGTGTGTGCAGCTCTTTCTTTCTGCCTTTTACTTTTACAGGATATGGGGTCACAGAGCGGACGGTCTCAGCTGAGCTCTGATTGGCTATTTGCTGGGCAATGATATAATCCTCGAGGGAGAGCAGTTTGATCGATGAGGCTTTATATCTCAGATTACTCCTGATGGTGTGTGTGTGTGTGTGTGTGTGTGTGTGTGTGTGTGTGTGTGTGTGTGTGTGTGTGTGTGTGTGTGTGTGTGTGTGTGTGTGTGTGTGTGTGTGTGTGTGTGTGTGTGTGTGTGTGTGTGTGTGTGTGTGTGTGTGTGTGTGTGTGTGTGTGTGTGTGGTGTGTGTGTGTGTGTGTGTGTGTGTGTGTGTGTGTGTGTGTGTGTGTGTGTGTGTGTGGTGTGTGTGTGTGTGTGTGTGTGTGTGTGTGTGTGTGTGTGTGTGTGTGTGTGTGTGTGTGTGTGTGTGTGTGTGTGTGTGTGTGTGTGTGTGTGTGTGTGTGTGTGTGTGTGTGTGTGTGTGTGTGTGTGTGTGTGTGTGTGTGTGTGTGTGTGTGTGTGTGTGTGTGTGTGTGTGTGTGTGTGTGTGTGTGTGTGTGTGTGTGTGTGTGTGTGTGTGTGTGTGTGTGTGTGTGGAGAGATGTTGAAGGCAGTGGTTCAGCTTTTTATAGACAGATAGCCAACAACACAGCAGATTCATGTTGTCATGATCATAAAGCCTGGAAACAAGCTGGAACATAATGAGAGTAGTTTGTTAACTTTATTCTGTTTTAAATATATATATTTTATAGGATAAAGCAAAACTCTACATAGCTTCATAAAACCCATACATGTTCTGAGTTACACATGCAGAGAAAACGCCCCCTGTAGGCTCTTAAAAAGAAAGATGAGGTGATATAAAGAACACTAGACAAAATAGCATGACATCATATGTGAGAGAAGAGACTTTAAGGTTTGAATGTACTGTAAAAAAAGTATTTTGAGCTCAAATATTTCATGAAACCTCAAGGAATAGGTCAACATTTGAGGAAATGGTTGCTTTTTGTTGAGAGTTAGGTGTACCCTAAATATACATTTAGACTCTTAAGTTAGTTAGTTAGTTAATTCAACATCTACAAGGGAGACCTTATCTTATTTTTCCAAAGTTAATTGATTAGATAGTATTTAGAAAATTGAGACAAATGATTACATGTGGTGTTTCCCCTCTGCTTTGCTTTTTACCACAGCTTTTATTTTTTCCGTGAATGCAATATCCCAGGAACGGCTTTAGGGAATTTTTCACATTTGGCAAATAGTTCAAGTGTGAGTCAAGGAAGAACTGATAAGAATTCGGTCAAGGTCACTCACAAAATTAGTTTCTGGCAATAACTCAAGAATTCACACTTCAGTCTAAATAATGAGGTGATGACATTTTGGACAGAAATGGATGTAAAGAGCAACTTGACCGGTTGGAGTAAGTCTATATGCAGTTATATTACAGAATGGGAACTGTTTTACCCTTCTTTCTTTTTTTACTTTAACAGACTTCAAACCAAGCTGTTCTTAACATTAAACTCCACTCAGACCAAATGATTTGTTTATCAGTAAACTTCACAGACGGGGCTGCTCATCAGCCTCTCACATCACCATGACAGTCATAATTACTCTGGGAATCGGCTAAGAGATCACTCCATTACTCTATTTCACAGAGTTTTTGCTCGCTCTCTTATCTCCAGCGAGGCGTGTTGACTTGATGGATCAGCGTGGGGGTGTGAGGAGCAGAGATGGATTATTATGGCTGCCTGTCTTAAAGGGTGATCCCCCCCCCAGAGCCGCGAGCTTTGATTGATGAATCGTACCGTGTGTCGGCCGGACAACCATGAGAGGCCGTTCTGTCCTTCACTGTAATTACCATGACAACCTCTCATGACAGATATTACGGCTTGCAGAGTGAGGGAGGGGGATAATAATCTAACTGTCTATCTGCTTTTAATGATTATCGCCTGGGCCATGATACAGCAAATGTCTCGAAGCTAAATCTTGGCCATTAGACTCGGGCACAGAACTTTAAACAGACGTGTTGATTAGTAAGTTAATATAAAAAATCCCTGCTCATCCCATAGCTGTTCCTTGTGTCTGAGTTGTTGGGTTGACAATGAAAAGGAAATGGTGTTCATGAAGCAGTGTGATCAAATCAAATATTTACTGAGGTCTTCATCGAACCGTTCCAATTATTTCTTCTTGGAGAAAGGCTCAGCAATCATCTGGACTTCCTCACAGGGGTATTTGGTTTGTGTTTATCCTCAGCTGGTGTAAGAGAGAGATTTCATTATGGAGGATTAGTTGGATTGTGTTAAATGTGCATTTGGATCATAGACTGATTGCTATTGACGTTTGGCTTGAATTCCATGAAAGCTCTGAACAATGGCTTTGCTGAGCGCTACACACTTTTTCTTCTTCTTGGGAAGTAGAAACTAGTGGTTAGGAATGCATTTCCACCACATAATCTGATCAATTATACTTAATGTGGATATACAGTATAGCATCTTTATCATATGAACAAAGCTGCTGTGGACCTCATATTTCTGCCGATGTGCAGTAGCATTCACAGACGGGATGAAAGATATTCATGTAGCAAATAAGATCTGTTGTTGTGCTTCTGCTTCCAAGACTTGAACTAAAGAGGCCCTTTGTAGTGTGTTATATAGATTTGAGTGCATGTAAATGGTCTGAAAAGGCTAAAATCCCAACGTTCACCACACTGGGAGTTTCTCTCCCATAACTTCACGTCAAATCTTTTGGTTTTCCAAAGCTCCAATGGATTCTTTGCATACAGTATACAGAAGAAAAATTGTGGCAATCTGTTTTAGGGACGTCTAATCTTTTGGTTTTCCCTTGTTTTCCACTTATCAGTACATTTAGATTTACAATGTGTCAAAAGATTATGAATATTGAAAAGTTCTTATCCATAACAACATCTGAGACATCTCAGTGTCATATCAAATAAAAAAATTAAAAGCTTGAAAAATATTCTAAAATGTTGATATTCTATTTGTTCCTATATGGTTGGAGAGATGCTATGTTAAATATGTTCTACGTGAGATGGAGGATTCCCACATTATATAGCACAAATCAACAATAGCATGTAGCTCTAAGTGCCAATGGATTGTTTTGCATATACATAAGACAAATAAATAAGAATAAAGACAATTGTGGCAATCTGTTTATTTGCAATTACCTGCAAAATTAAAATAATCTGTATTATATGTTAACATTAAAACACCCCTTAAGCATTGTTTGTGTAATGACTGCAATCATGATTGTATTGATTGCCATCTAGATCCATTGAAATGGCTCCATTTCCTTGGAATACACCATTCAGAAAAGGCATCTACAGCTTTCCTTGCAATAGTATATTTGAAGTACCCACAAATCTTCACAGCTGTGACTGTGTTCTCTAAATAATCAGCTTGGGGAACAAAAACAAAACAGAAGAGAGCAGAGGAGGCACGTTGAGCATGTTATTCTCAACGTGATGTGATTCAGTTTCAGCGATCAGATGCTCTCTCGCAGCTCTGAACATCTGAAGCCTTTCTTCAGAATGAGTCAGTGTGCGGCTGCTGAACAGGATGATGATGTTATCGGTGGCGTAAGAGCAGGAGAAGTGACAGCGGGTGATGTCTCCCATGGTTCTCTCTACGTTGATGTGTTGATATGATGCAACTTGAGCAGTCCTTATTGTTTGCCTCTTTCTATCTGCGGGTCCCCGTGTAGACGCAATGTTTACCTATTTTTCCCTGTGGTTTTTCACACGTCTTTGTCAGTACTCCTGCCTTTAATCATCTCTCAAGATCCTTGTTTTGTCTTTGCCTCTCGATCTGTTTTATCACTGTATGTTTGTGTGAATGGTGTGTGTGTAATTAAAAGCAGCGGGTTGTGTGACGGGTATATGTGCTTGTCCAATCCC